GAGTGGAAAATAAGGAAAAGAAGCTGATTTAGAGGAAGAGTAGTTCAGATTCAGGTATGATAGATTTGATGCACCAGCTGGATTATGAGGAGTCAGTAACAGGGCAGAGAAAAGAACACTGAGCTCTATCAGAAATACCTGAGTTCGAGTTGAAAAAAAAAAAAAAAAAAAAGCTAGGATCCAATGAAAAACCCAGAACGCACATTTATATATAGCATGATTTTAACTATGTAAAAAAACTAGGCATAGAAAAAGACTAAAAACATGTATATCAACATGTTAATGTCAGGTGCATACAGGTGAGCTAGAAAAATGATAATGCATTTTTCTTTCCTCTTTTGTACTGTATTTTCCTTTTTTTAAAATATGGATACAAGCCTGACAAGTTAGGCTCCTCAACAAAACAAAAAAAAAAAAAAAGGAAAAAATCTGGATTCAAATAGTCTTTTTTAAAAAATGGCAATCTCTCTGAACGTCAGTTTCCTCATCTACAAAAAGGGAATAATTTCTTCTTTCTCCAGGTTAGTGTGCAGATTAAATAAGATAAAGGTTTTTATAAACAGCAATATACAAAGTTAAGGCATTTATAATCTGTGACAGCTCAAATTATAGGACAAAAGATCATACACAGATGTTAAAATATAATACAGATTTGGATATCTCCACACTGAGGTAATAGCTGATGAAGTAGATTATTTTCCTTAGACTTTTTAAAAGTCTTAAAATCCATTTATTTTAAAATAAAAATGTTCTCAAATTTCTTATGAACATTTAAGTTTTATGTTATAGAAATGAACTCACATACATAAAATTAATATAGTACTTTTTCCACGTTACTGAAACTTAAACACAAGCAAAAAAAAGACCTAGTAATATTACTCTCTAATATTTGAACTGCTAAATAAATAACTTCATTGTTTTAAAAAAGCCAGGCTCTACAGAGATAAATTTAGCAATCTGCAAATGTTCTCTCACAAGTTACATGCTTAATACATTGCATGGTATTCTAAATGGTGCTTTCCCCCAACTCCCAATCCCACTCCTGGTACTTTACTTATGCTTAAACATCTCTAGATATCTTTTTAAAATCAGATCGTAAGCTCCTAAAGGGCAAGAAGTATGTCTTATATTTGTCCTTCCTATAAGAACAACCAAGTACAGTACTGGCCACAAAATAGGTGTTAATTCATATATATGTTAAGAAATACTCTAACTCATGTTATAGATGCCATAGTAACCATTTAAGAGTTACTATTCATGTCATGTTATATAACTTAAGCCTACCTTGAGCCCTACGAGAGACAACCAGTAAGAAATTAAATGGTAAGAAAAAATTCCCCAAATGTTATTACATGAGAAACATTTTATGTGACTAAATATACTAAGAATGCTTTAGACTAAATTAATATGTAAAAATCATACATTGTTCTTTTAAGAAAGCAAGAGTATATATATAAGAATTATGGTTCTACTATTGTGATGTTAAAAACTATTTTCTTAAAATAGTTCATAAATTGAAGCATACTGCTACTATTTGTTCATATATCTTGCATGCAAAATGTTATGTTTCTTATAGATACTAACCATACAGTTTCATTCATTAGAATTTTTCTTTAAAAAGTTTTTGAATTTTGTTTTGGGTTTTTTTAAACCTTCGAGCAGAAAGTTAAAACTGAAATAGTTAACTGTATGCTGCTTCCTTTAAAGTGTGAACACCTACTAACCTCTAGGTGAATTCTAAGATAAAAGTCTTAAAATTAAAGCCTTTATTATGAAAAAGAGACTGCTCAGATGAAGCCTGAAATGCACCTAACCCCTGCCTTATGAAACTGCGTTACTAGTTCCCCACTTTGCACATATACCTGAGATTTAAAATATATACTGTATATACATTTTGTACGTGTGTGTATGTGTATACTTATATAGTGATTTGGAGGCAGGACATCAAGATAAGATTATTTAGGGTACTTTCCCCCAATTAAGTTTTTAAAAAGTTGTTTCCAAAGTGCTGTTAATTATCATAATTCATAAACTAAAAGATACTAGCCTAAGGGAAATTCCAGAGTACAAGCACCTGCCAGCCAAGTTGCCTGAAATTCACCAGCTGCAGAGATTAAAAGCATCCTTTAGTTGTTTTTATGTAAAACAAAATACGACAGGTATATAATTTCAATGTGGCCCATATAACATGACCAATCACTTAACATTCCTCTCAGTGATTTCAAAAACCACTAACAGTTTTAATTGCCATTAGAGAGCTTATAAAATGCACATTACAGTGTTTCCCTTATCTAAACACTCATCAAGGGTACAGTTTAAAAGTTTTTCACTTACAAAGTGATTCACCATAAGATTCTCTTAAATAATCAGTTTCTCTAGAACCATTCCATTTATAATACACTCAACTTTTCTGCTTATAAAAATATAGTTTTCTCACATTTTTTTTCAAGAACCCATCTAGTATATAAAAGAAGATACACATGTACAGTTCCTTGAGAATAAACACTTTCAATACTTGTGACTCCAGAAGAACTACACATATTTTGAATTCTTGTTTGGTTCAATAAGTTTTTAAACATCTACTAGAATACAAGTGCTTGCCTTTACATTCATGGCTCTCTTGATAAAATAAAGATCAATATAACTCTAAGCTCTAGACTAATGAACTGCAGGGAACAGAAACAAGCAATCTGGCAAGAGCTGAGCAAAGCTCTGCTTGAAGGCTACCAGTAAAAGACACCAGCACTACCCCTCCCCCACGCCAACCCTTTAAGGTTTCAATTAAGATGGGGCCTAGCTTTACTCTTACAAGGGGGACAGAAAGAGAAAGCACAGAACTCCTGCTGAGAAGTATCTTCATCTGGAGTAGCTCCAGAAATACTGACAGGAATCATTTCTTTCCTTCTCTGCTGACACAGGTTCTTCTCTTTAGAAATCAACATCATCTCTGTTCCTGATTAATAACGTATGTAAAGAAAGTAAAGGTTTCATTTATATACCACCCAAAGGATGGCATCAAATGAGTAAGAAAAAAATTCAACATCAGCTCTAACACTTTATGAAACGTGGGCACCCCAACTGCAATTCATCTTCATCTTTCAGTCTCTCAGATAAGCTGCCTCATGAACTGGATAAGAAGGGATAAAGTTATTTAATAAGGCATGTCCACAAAATAAATTTAAGTGCCTCCAACTGTTAAGAAGGCTCCCTCAAAACACTTAACAGAAGATGAAGCTTTGGCAAGCCTTCCAAAAGTCCCCAAAACTAACAGAAGAGAAGCAGAACAGCTGATTCTTTGAGTAGTGATTCCACCACTCCTATAGGCTGAGGAGCCAACAGTGCAGAGATAGCTCAGCGTCCCCCCTCCAAATCCCGACACTCCAATTTTTGCTCTAGTATATGGTCACCCATTTGTGATCACATAAGACAAGTCTTTCAGTCCGATATAACTGGCAAATAAATCCAGGCATGAGGCTAAAAAAGGGGCAGGGAGGGGGGGGTCAGTGAAAAGTTGATGCCTGTTTAAAAGGAGCCCAAGAATGAAACAACCTCACTATGTAAGGAATTATAAGACATCAAAGGTTAGATAATAGACAACAGGTGCCTTTGGGAAGGAAAGAGTAACACTCAGCGTCCTATTTTAGGATTTCACGAAGCACTCTAATGTGTTTTTTTCTTCCCAAAGAAAGGGCCCAAATTATGGTTTTTACTATTTAATACTTATAATGTGTCCATTACTCTTTGACCTACTTTTTTACTTTAAAGATTCCATCTAATCCCAACATGTCTGAATAAAGTATGGCCTCTGGCCAGATCATGTACTGATCCATGAACATGAACTAGGGATTTCTGTCAAGAAATGCAAAAGCAAGGTGTGTGAATACAAACCACCTCCAAATAAAATACTCGAAATACAAATCCAGCAGCAGGTATCAAATAACTACAGTATCAGCCAAAGCAGAAACTGTTTCTCTCACCATCCGTAACAGTAAACTCAATCTTTACCAGATTTCAAGGGCCTCAAAGAATAGTAATTCCAGACACAGGTTATGGGGCCCTGAGTACCAGCCTCAGTTCTGATTCCCTTAGACAGTTACAAAATTTACTACCTTTATTTGGGTGAAAGGGAACACTGAAAGGATACTTCAGCCTACTTAATAACCTCTTCTCTTTTCCATTCCATAAAGACAACATATTCCAAAAATGGAGAATCTTTTCTTTCCCCGACAGAGGCCCCCTTTCCTATGGATTCCCTGGGCAGGATTACTTCTCCCCAGAATGCTTGCAGCCAGAAAATACTTCTGCTTTCACTCCTCTTAGAGAGGGTCCCCCAACACAGACGCACCTCTTCCTTTCCTGTATTAGGCAAATGATGCTTCAATGTTTCTGGTTCTCTCCACCACTGCTAAATGTTCAGAGAAGTGGAGAGAGTGAAAGGAAGTCAGTTACTCTAAAAAGTACTTAAAAGAAGTCTCCAAATTTAAAGTAAAGACGGGGGGGGTGCCCCCTTCATGAAGAGGGAATGGGGGGCTCTATACTAAAAAGGAGCTTCTGCGTGGGTAAGGGATATCCCCACTCTGAGAGTTCGGTATGTGGAAAGGGGAAGGAATGCTGTACCCTGAAAAGAGGGGTGAGGGTTTGGGAAAGGGATGTCCCAACCATGAAGGTGGGTTTCTGGGGGGAATCCGAGAGTGTACGGGGAGAAGTGTACCAGCTATTGGGGCCTCTGAGAGAAGGGGTTTCCATTTGGGGGAAAGAGGGCCAGGCACTGAAGGGGGCGCTGGGAGCAAAGGAGGGGCTTGCTGAGGAGGGCTGGGCTAGGGGGGAAGGGTTCTGAATCCACCGGAGCCTGTAGAGGGGCGGCAGCCTCGAAGGGAACATGTGCAGTGGAACTAGTGCCATCCCGAGGGGCAGGGTGGAGAGCAGGGCCTGGGCTGTATGTAGAAATGACAAGGTTTCCATCCTGCGCAGGAGAGGGAGAATTCCCCAGCCGTACTCACCGAGGCTGCCGGCGAAACCGTCCATTTTGCGGGGAAAGCGCCGCGCTCGGGGCTCAGCGGGGCGGGCACTTCATTCAGCGGACCGGCAGAGTGGCCGACGCTGAGCCTGACCCACTCGTGCTTCAGGTCGCCTGGCTCGACTCCCAGCCCCCGCCTCAGTCGTCCTCCCGTCCGTCGGCCCGTCTGTCCGCCCCGGGACACTTAGCCGTGTCCGCCAGAGCCACTTCCCCGTCAGGTTGAGAGCCGCGCCGATCCGCCGCCTGCCCGGCCTCCCTCCCAGGCAGCAGCCGCGAGCACCGCACCGCGCCGCGCCGCGCCCCGCCCCCGCGCCCGCGCGCAGCGGGAGCTCCTCCCCCGCGCACGCCGTCACGTTTCCGACTCCGCCTCTCACGTGACGGCACGGAGGCGGGGCCTTGAAGACCCTTCTCACCTTGCGTGGGCTTTAGATTCCTCCTACTTCGCGCGGGCCGATGTCTGCGCTTGCGCGGTGGGCCTACTGAAAGCCTGGGACTTGAGTCTGGAAACTGGTTCCGAATGGGCTGGAATAAGGGGTGGTCTCTGCCCTGGGACCCTTAAGAGCATGGAAGAATTCTCTCTCATCGCAGCGCTTGGGGAGGCCACGGAGGCCCAGAGGAGCCCAAGTCTGGGCCGCTCCCTTGACAGGAGATGGGCACCCCCGCGTGTACTAGGAGGACACAAAAGAGACAACCAAGTCCGGAAAGGGATCCCTTCTTCCCCGGGATCACCCTCTGCCCCACTTGGGTGAGGGACAAATAGGAGCACGTCTTCCTGACTAACTTAAGGCCACCACTGCTACAGCTACAGGACCCAAGACAGACCAGTAGGAAGGAATGTTAATGCTGGACAGAACCCAGGAGTTCATCTTGTCTCCCCTGTAGGGAGGACACTGAGCCTTAGAAAGGGCATGACCTGCCCAAGGTCATGGAGCCTCGTAGAAGCAGAGCAAGAACTCAGGCTTCTTAACACCCTCTGATGTTTTTTTCCACCAGGAATGCAAAGCAAACCCTTATAGGGCAGATCAGAGGACTGCCTACTAGGGAACTCTAACAAAGGGTTGAAATGAAGTAAGACTGAGTTATAGGCCCAACTCCATGTGACTCACAAGGTGAGTGTCAAGTCGCTAAATTTATTTGGGCCTCACTTTATTCATTTGCAAATGGGAAGACTGGACTTAAAACACATACGTATACACAGCCTTCATCTTCCTCCTCCCTCCCCCACCCACCTCTGCTCACCATCCTCCTAAAGACCTTCTTGTGGTTTCCAAAGTCCCTCCTGGGACTTGGTTGTGTAGATCAAAGTAATAGTTAAAAGAGGAGAACTTAAAATGATCTGTGCAATAAAAGAACTCTAAAATGATCAAAGTAATAGTTAAAAGAAGAGAACTTAAAATGATCTGTACAATAATAAAGAACTAAGCTAGGGAGGGGAGAATAAGTCATTCTAGAGAGAGTTGCAGGAGAAGGACAGTTGAACAAGGGAGACGAGAAATATGAGGTAGCAATAGTCAGTAATAGGAACTGAGAGGAATTATATGGTTATATGGTTGAAAGGATTGTTAAACATTTTGTTGCTGTCTTGCAGTATACTTTTCCCCTTTGGTACCTCTTTTAAAATCTTTCCTAAAAATCTAAATTATTTTTCATTTCTTCTTGGGATATCAGATCTGTGTCTTCCAAATACCATACTATGTGAAGACTGGCCATAAGGCAGCCAAAATATATTCAGGTTAGAGACTAACCTACTTCAAAATTAAATTACTTACCCAAAGTTTCCCCTGCTATCGCTTTAAAAGTTTTGATTCCGACAACTGCTCTTCTGTGTCTGCATGCAACACTCTGTCTTATGTCTATTAAAATAATTGGAACTTGTATTGATATATTGGTTACGTATGTATATTTTTAACTCAAGAAGGATCCACAGTTTGTGGGGCCTGAAGCTTTTATAATTGTGGGGCCCTTTTGAGAAAAATTAAAACAAAAATTACAAAAACAAAATAACATTAAATGGAGTATTTATTTAGACTGAGAAATCACAACAGATTACACATTTTTAAAAGCCTGCAAATACTACAAACATTACAAAATGGAAAAATATGACATTTAATTAACCACCCAACATAACTCCAATACTTTTTTCCTAAATTTCTTGGCTGCATACTCTTTGATTATCTCTTCATATAACAATGATTTTTTTTTTTTTTCTTACTAGATATCCTTTGCTGGGATCCTGTCATATAGCAGGATTTGTACCCAGGTGCTTTTTACACATAAACCCATTTCAGTGTCATAGCAAGCCTATGAGATCAGTGTTATGAATATAACAGTGATTTTTTTTAAAATAACTTTTTAATAGAATACATAGATAACTGTTTTTAGTTTCTAGCATGGTTGATCAATTTGTCTTTATTATTGATAATGCGGTGCATAAAAAACCACTTCACACATATAGTACAGGCTGTTTGTAGTATTGCTCCAGGAATTCTGATTAATTCTATTTCATATGATTCACATTCTAAAAAAGGAAAGAAAAGAAATTAATTCTATTTCATGTGATTCACATTCTATTTCATGTGATTCACATTCTAAAAAAGAAAAGAAAGAAAATGTATGGTGAATTTAAAATTATACATGCTGCATTTTAAGTATATTCCTGGAAGGAGAGAACTTCCACTGTGGTTTGACATCAGTGAGAACCAAATTTTCCACTTATAATTATGCATATCAGATGATTAGAAAAATTTTCCTTAGACTAACTTCTGCTCTTGATATTTCAAACCTTGTTTCTCCTAACTACCTATACTTCCAGAGCCAGCTATGTAGTCCTATCACATTATGACCTTTAGCCCTGCACTTCCATGACAGGATGTTGGGAGTCGTAGGAATATTCCTGGAATCTATTGCTAAACGAAGGCAGCCAGCAATAACTTAATTAAATGTAAAGACATTGTTGTGGAAAGACACACTTTTCTAGAGTCTTGGAAGAGACCCCGGGAACTTGTTTCATTAGCTTCATGATGAATCTGCCTGTTTTAATTACTCTTAATTACTCATCCTAAGTCATGAAGCCAACCAAAAAGTTTTTTTTTAAGGCAAAGACAAGAAAAAAGTGAAATAAATGCTTGATCAGAATAAGAACAAATAGTAGGAGAAATACAGTAGTCAGTTATCCATAGTAATTTCAGAATCCTGCTAGGATAGGTATTAAGAAGGTATTCTTCACTTAAATCTACCTTGCTCTTCTTTCCAAGAATTCCCTTGTCCACTGTACTCCATGACCCCTGGCTTCGCTATTCTATAAAAGCATGTTGGGAAATATACCTTCCTCATAAGTTGCTCATTTTGTACTGATGCAAATATGAGATCCAAAAGTTACTTTCCAATTCAAATAACCAAAAGATTTGTTTGAGAACATGACTCCCTCAAAAACTTGGTAGGCCTCTGATCTGTTTGCTTCCAGTCAACAACATGTGCCAATAACCACACCCAAAGTTATTTCCTACACATAATTCTCAAGCACGATTTACATCTTTGTTTTTCTTTCCTCAGTTTCTCTCTCTCTCTCTCTCTTTCTCTCTCTCTCTCTCTCTCTGTCTCTCTCTCTCTGTCTCTCTCTCTCTGTCTCTCTCTCTCTCTCTCTCTCTCTCTCTCTCTCTCTCTCTCTCTCTCTCTCTCTCTCTCTCCCCTCTCCTTCTTTCTCTCTCTCTTAAATGGAGGCTACCTTCAGGTGAACAGAATTGGATGAGAAGACCACACTCTTAATCACATCTCTGCTGTGAATCTGGTTCTAAATGCACCTTTGTTACTCAGAGTTTTTTAATATTTTGTTTTCTGAGTGTCTAAAAGTAGCCAGCTTTCTAACCTTTTAGCCCCCAAATTTCAGGAGTTCCTTTAATTCTCTTTTATTTTTGCTTACAAACCAGTCAATTCTTGCTTGAACTTTTCTCTTTCTTGAAATACTTTACTAAAATTAGCAAATAGTGGCCAACACAAACTATTAGTCTAAAAAACTTCCTCTAGAGCTATAGGCTTGCTAGGCAAGTAGTGTCTTGCCTTCCAAGTTATCATAAGCAACAGTTGTAGCAAATCTTTGCCACGACATAACAGGGCTCTCAAGTAATCCAACCTCCAGTATCTGTTTCCACACCTTTCCCGACCTAATGAAGAATTGGAGGTCACATGTTTCAGATCTTTTTTCCTTACAACTGCATTCAATTTCAAGATTTCATTTTCTGTATTAGTCAAGATAGACTAACTGCTAACTGCCAACATTTCAGTTGTCTTATTATAATAAAAATTTTTCACTCTTATTAGTATCCAGTACAGATCATCAGGGAATTTGGCTCCATAAAGTCATTCAGGGATCCAGGCTTTTGTATCTTGACTTCCACTCCTTTCAGCCATAATTGGAGAACATGGAGGATCAATCAGTAAGCTTTTATGTTCTAGGCATGGAATTGTGTACCTCACTTTTACGCACAGTCCATGAGCCAGAACTTAGTTGCATGACCACACTTAATAGCAGATGAGGCTAGAAAATATTATCTAACTCTGTAACTAGAAGGAAAAGAGAAACATTTTGGTGACAATGAGAAAACCATTTCTGCCACGCTCCTCTTCATAGTACTTACAAGAGTTATAAATTTTCATTTACTTGAATATTAATAAGTGTCTCATTCATTATATTGCATACTACAAAGAGAGTTTTTAGAATATAGAAGAGATAATAAATACAACCCAGTGGTTAAGAGTGCAGACCATGGTTTTATACTGTCTAGATTCAAATCTCAACTCTACCACTTACTGGTTATGTAACATTGGACAAATTACCTAATCTCTCTGTGCCTCAGTTTTTTGTCTGTAAAATGAGGATGATACCATTTCTATTTCCTAGAGTTACTAAGGGGATACAATGAGATTATACATGTAAAGTCCTTAGAATAGGCCTGTTATGTTGTAAGAACTCAGTAAGTATTAGCTATTGTTATTATTATAGGTGGGCTTTCATTGTGTCTGTTTTTGTTCATCATTATATACCCAGTGCCTATTACAGAGTAGCTGTTAAATAAATATTTACTGAATATTGAACAAACTTAGAACTCTGAAAACTACTCCATCTGAATAGATTATTTCAAAGAGTGCCCAATTGTTTTTAAAGCAGCCAATATTAACTTTTCAGCTTTATGTTTATAAAATTAGATCTTATAAACTGTTTAATAATGACACAATAAAATGGAAGATTTAATATAAATCCCTCAAAATAAAAATATAGCTGTACATGATCATCAAACAAATAC